CCCCCCCTTGCAGACTGACAGACACTCCCCAAATCCCCTGCACCCCGCAGAGACACACCCCTTCCCCCCAAATTCTGCTGCACTCCCACAGAGACCCCTGGAAATCCCCATGCACCTCTCATAGGCACCCCCCCCCCCAAAGTCCCCTGCACCCCACAGAGCCAACCCTCCTCCCCTCCCTGTGCACATGGGGACAGCCCTGGTCACACACACACCGCACGTACATGCGTGCGCACACGTGTGCGCACCCACATGCACCCGCATGGGGGGGGGTTCCAACCAGAGCACCCTCCTTTGGGACAGGCGGTCCCAGACCACAGGGGAGGGCACAGGGGTCAGGGTGGTGACAGGGCAGGGACCTGCTGCAGTGGAGCCCCTGTCACGCCGTGCTCTCTGCCCCCACCCCCGGGGCCACCGTCCCTTGCATGACGGAGCACCTGGAGCGCATTCGGGGCAGCTCCAGGGGGACAATGATGGGGACCAATCGCGTCGACCCACCCCTAACGGGGAGCAGGGCTGAGCACGTCCAGGTGCCACCCGTGGGCTGTCCCCAGCACCCGCCCCAGCCGGGGAGACATCGTCCCAGGGCACCGGGCACCACCGCCTCCTTTGCCAGCGATGCCACCGGGCACCTGGAGCTGGGTGACGGGGGCTGCGGGTGGAGGAAGAGGGGAAGGTCGGGCCCGTGGGTCCCGGACTGGGTGACGGCCACTGCCGGCGAGGAGCAAAGAGGCTTTGCGGAACTGCGGGTGTGGGGCTGGCTTCAGGAGCCGGGGCCGCAGCCTCTCCTGCGCCCTGGGCCCCGCGGTGTCCCTGTGTCCTCAGCTGCTGGTGTCAGTGTAAGGGTGCGTGCAATATGCGGGTGCTTATTCAGTTTCATTTTATTTCTCCTCTCTGTTGCACTAAAATCACCCAAGGGCACTGCGAAAACCAGGAAGGGAAAGGCACAGAGGCACAAACCTGGCCAATTAGTGCTGATGAAGGGAACCCGGTCAGCCACGCTAATTAACAGGGACACGTGGGAGTGGGAACATGTTCATTGCAGCATGGTTAGCTGATGGAGGGCTTCCTGAGCTGGGGTGATGAGAAAAGGGAGGCCAACAGAAATAGGGCCTGAATCACAGCCCTGACAAAAGGGACGCAAAGAGGGTGACAGGACTGAGCCTCTGGCAGCCACTTGGGCTGAGGGACCATCGGGGGATTAGAGGCATCGCTCCCGGGAAGGGTGACTTGACCTTGGAAAGGAGGGGACAATCCTGGATGCGGGATGGGAGCGAGTGAGTGGGTGGGGGGTGTCTTCCACCTCCAGCCGTGGTGGGGACTGAGGGACTCTGCGGCTGGAGTGGGACTGTGGGTTACAGCCCATGTGCCTGGTGCCGGCTGCTGGGGGGGGGGAAGGGGGTG